GAGCAAAAGAGACTGCCTACCCCTAAGCTGGGGGAGGACTGAGTGTGGGCTCTGGAAACCCACGGTTCAACTTTTGGCAGTGAAACCCTAGGGGCTCCACCACCCAAACATTCTTATTGTTGAACCCACCTCTCAGCACTGGTTCAGCATTTGCTTCTTGGTATCATGGACTTTTCATCTACAGAGAGGCTTCTGGTGACTGCTTGCTCACACTCTTGAGAAAATGCCTTAGATTTTGGATTTGAGGCTTTTGCAGAAGGTAGGAGGGGTGAGACAGAACAGGCAAAGGCAGAAAGCAAGGAAGGAGAGTGCAGAGGCCTGTGGTTTGGGAGTTGCTTAGGGAAACTTTTTCTGTTTCCTCTCCTACACAGCACAGTCCTAGATCCTCTCCATGTCTACTTACTTCCCCATTTTCCTTCTTCTTTACTCTCCTGATGTTGGGCCTGACCAAGGAGAATGAGGGAGCCACATGACCACGTTTTTCTCTTTTGGTCAGTTGCTGCATGGGACACAGATTCCAGGTGGGTATTCAGGACAAATTGTTTTAAAGAGTCCCTAAAGCTATATTCATTCCTGTTGAGCTATCTGTTCACTTTGGGCATGGAAGGTAATTTCTGGGGTATCAGGTACATTTCCTGAATTTCAGTTAATCTAAGACCTCTGGACCTTAATTGCCCCTGGAGCACTCTTCCAAACCTGGAGGCAGCTAAATGAGTGGTCATTGAATAGGATTAAAAAAACAAACAAACAAACTATCAGGGTATATTAATTCACTTTATAGTCATTGTGGTGGGAGAGGGAGAGACTATGGTGATTTCCTAAGTGCTAACTAGTTAAGTCTCTCTGCCTCCTCGGCCTGGTTTTATTTTACAACTATTGATTATCTAGCTCACTGGTGACAAACAAGGCAGATGGCAGACAAGTAGAACTCAAGTCAAGAAAGTTGTACTGCATTCATGTATTTCTCCTCTAGCATCATCTGCCATAGTTTCTGCTGCGGCTCATGGCTAGTGGCACCACACTGGACCTTAGGAACAGCAACTGGAAGAGCCTGACCATGAGACTAGGATTAGGTTGCCAATTTGAATTGAACTTGGTTTTCCCTCCTCTGACCAGAATGCCATGACTCAGGTATAAAATCTCCTCTCCTCTCAGAGACACTGGCAGTCTGGAAACTCTAAAAAAAAAAAAAAAAAAATTAATAAATTGAAGAGAGATATTAAAAGAACAGGAAACTGTAGGAAGAGAGGGAAAGAAAAAGGAAAATACTTGTACACAAAATTGGAAGGGTGTTTGGAATTCTGCCTGAATTTCCAACAACCGAAGCTAAAGCGTGTTTGTCTCCACCGGCTTTCTCCACTGGTTTCTCGAACCCAAGTCCCTTCTTCAGAATCTGGGGGGTTTTGCCTGGGAAAGGCACGTTCAAGTGGGTTTGGTGGCCGGCAGGGCTCTACCCACTGGCGGTGGGTAGGGACAGCTGGAGGTGGCGGCAGGGAGTGAGATGAGAAAAGCCCTGGGAGGTGTAGGTATGTCAGGTCGAGGCCCTCCCCCATACAGAGGGGCACCAGCGTCCACCACCCAGCACCCCAGGGGAGCCTCTGGGCTCCAGGCCACCCCAGGTGACTTGAGCCAGAGTGCTCTTATTACAGTTATTAATGACCAGACTGATTTTTTAAGCCAAGACCAAAAAGAAATGGATCCAAATGAGGAAACTAGGACAGCTTGGATTCAGCATGACAGCCAGGAGCCAGGGCATTGCACCACTGACCAAGTCCATAGCTGCTTCTTCAGTATCCACTCTGTGCCAGGTGAAGAAGTACATGCAGGTGGGCTCTGAGCTCCAGGGTTTGTAGTTGTATGGGGCTGGAAGGCAGTTATAGGAAACAACTAGACTATTAGTGCTTATGGTTGGCAGAAAATGGGAGGCACTCCTGGCCTACTTAAGACCGCCCCTACTTCCTCCCCAGCAGTAGGTTTAAGGTAAGTTTCTCCTTTGCTAAGGATGACCAACCCCACCCCCTAACATCCATCAGGAGTTTGGACAGATCCTGGACTCCTGGAGAATTAGGTCTCTAAGATCCCACTTGACCTCCCTTGTCAGAGGCAAGTGTTTTGTGCATTTCTTGGCCAGGTACACCTGGGTTGGGTCCTGGCTTCTGGACTTACTGGTTTTGTGATCTCAAGCTAGCATCTTAGCCTCACGGTTTGTTTCTGCCTTTGAAAACCAGGACATTTGCCCAATAAGGGGTTTGAAAGTGCCATTCCTAGCCCTGATCATCCTCATCGTTGTGCATTTGTTTATTTGTCCTGGGGGGGGGACGCATTTTCTCTATAGAAACTCCAGAAATGTGACAAAACTTAGAGCTCCCTTTCCCACAGGAGGTATGGCTTGCTAGGTTGATCAACTCCCTCCTCCTCCCCCACCCGCTACTAGGCAACTCTTCAAATTTCAAATCCTTCCCTCTGAATCTCACCAGCGCATTCTCAATCTTGCCCCTATTTACATTCTCCAACTCTGGTGGCAAGGTTTGAGTTTTATATTCTTGCTATTGCTCCTTAGTTAGTTCTAATAACCTTCAGCTACACTTCCAGGAAGCCCATATTTGACAGACCCAAAGGATGGTCCCTCAAAGCAGGCCAGAACCTGTGCAAAAATTCAGACCTGTGATGCCAGGGGAGCACAGCTACCCACCTGCCTGGGGGGCTAGTCCGCATGTGCTTGACTAAGTGTTCTGGGAGTGGGAAGTATGTGAGGACTAGCTGGCCACAGAGACCGAGGGGCAGCGACGCCTGCACTGGCCATGCAGGATCTTTTGCTAGGATGAACCCAGGAATTTGGGCTGTGGAAAGCCTCTCAGGCCTGGGCTATACCATCCCTTCTCCCAGCCTTTGCCCAGGCAGAGGAAGGTTCAAGGTTGGTGTGTCTGGGCCCCTCTCAATGAACAATGCTTCCCAGGGAATCTTGAAGAGCTCCTGAGCTCCCTTTACATTTTTTTTTTTTTTTTTGCACTAAAGAAAGTAAATGTCTTGTGTGTATTTCCATAGTGGTCAGGCACTAATTATGGAAGATGGCCTTGCAGAAACTTGGCTGTTCTGGCCTGTGGACCTTGGGGCCGAGTAAGGCGCTTGGGACTTTACACAGAAAAAAAAAATTGTTTAGTTTGCACCATCTGGGTAGGGTCCAACAAACAGATGGTGGCTGGAACAGTGGGGGGGTGGGAGCACCTGGGTTCCCCATTCCAAAACGGGGGCCTCTATGTCACCTTGCAGGTGAGAGCTGGGGAGGCAACAAATCAGTGAGACTTAGACTGCACCTGCCCAACCTGAGCAGTTGCCATCTGCCAGGACCCCTTCCAGGGCACACATTCAGCCAGCACCACCATTCAACTGGGACCCAGAAAAATCTCTTAAACTTGCAGACTTGGAGAAAGAGGAAGGTAGCCAGGCAACGGAATTGCAGAAAACATCCTCTCGGTCACATGAACTTTATTGTAGATCAGGAAGTTATCTAACAGCTGCCAAAACTCTTCTGACTCCACGGCTCCAAATGTTGACTGTTTCTCACACCTCACCATTGGGTACAGAGTCTGCTGCCTTGGGGGTTGTTCAGATTTCCCATTCCCTTTCAGATTCGATCTACCCCCACCTGCCTGGTTGCATTTGGAGATGATTTCCTTTTTTCCATTCAGGAGACCATGTGGCTCCCATACTTACCTGGGCTGGCAGTTTCTCCACACACCCTCCTTAAGGAGAATTCCAAATCTCTTGAGGAGGGAAAGCCAGATTAAGAAAGGTCAGAAAAAGGAAACTGAGCCTGAAGTCCAAGCATACATTATTATATTCTCCTCCGGGTGCCTTTGAATCATTCCAGGAAAAAAAAAAAGTGCAGCACAATAAGTAATTTTAATGGGCGACGCCCTTTCTTTCACCAATTCCCAGTCCTGAGCCAGGTTCATGAGAGCAAGAACCTAGTCTTCTGTGGCCTTGTATCTCCCAAACGGTCTGGTAAAGATACTGAACACACAGTAGGAGCTCAGACAATTGATCCTGGTTGACAAAACGGATGCTTCGAATGAAAGGGGGCAATTATTTGAGAGCAAGTGTAAGTTAAAGCGCACGCACGTGTGTATCCGGTGCCTTTTCAATTAATTTCAAGCTCACATACAAGATTACCTAGAGGATCTGCTCTCACATCTCAACCCAGCGCCCCAACACAAGCGATTCCTCCTGGTTAACCCTCATTTTGGCATCGAGGGAGTCCCCTCCAGCTGTCCCATTTGCAGACATGGCATCACTGTGACCTCTTCCTGGCAGTGCTCCTTTCCTCATCCTCGAGGGTCGAGGTCAGCTGAGCCCACCCGACTAAGTCATACTCAATCCAGATGACCAGGAGCAGAGACCCTCCTGGAAGCCAGAGCACAGAAGGGCCATTCCTCGTGCACCCAGCGAATTTCTCTGCGTAGAGGCGCCCCGGGCCGTGTCCGAGTCCCTGCGACCACGGGTGGGACCGCGATGCTGAGGCGGGCGCTCTGGTCCCCCCCGCGCTTCACGCAATCCTGGGACATTCCGAGCCCCTACAGGAAATCCCCTTCTCTGGTTGGCGGAGAGCAGATGTGGACGTGCTCGAGCACTGGGGCCTGACTACGACTATTTAGGGGGGGCCCTGGTGTCACCCACCCCGGCGTTATCATCGGCCACAGTCGTTGCTGTTCTCCTTCGGCGTTAAGCGGCCCCTTGGCCTTCGGTAATTTATCCGTAAGCCCAGAGAGCAGCCGCGTGGCGCGCACCCCGGAAGCGCTTGCTGAGACCCGGAAGCAGCGGGAACTCGGACGCGGCTCTTCCCGCGTGTGAACCCTCCTCGTCCCGCCCACCTTTGAGGTACCCCAGTTGGCGAAGCCTCGCGTCGCGCGAGAGCGGGTTCCGGGTTCGCGCCACCCTCCTGCCCTGCGCTGGGGAGTTTTCTGCCTCTGGGGCTCTCGCTGGCGGCACGCCGGGGCTTCCCCAATCCCCGCAGGGACCCCGAGTGGGTTTAGGTCCCTCGTTTAAGGTCGTCGTGGCGTCTGGCCGTGGGTAGAAGGAGTCACAGAGAAGGAGGAATTTACAATGGGCGCGTGAGTGACTAATAAACTCCCGAAATATCAGAGTGTAAATTTACTAGGACTCTTCAGTTGTGACTCACAATTCTGCGAGTAATAAAATGTTCACCCCTCCAATTTCCCGCTTTGTTGGCCTCTCCCCGGCGAGCCGCAGTGGGCGCGAGCGCGGGGGAGTGCGGGTGGCCCCCGGGCGCACCCCGCAGCTCGTGAGGGAGCCGGGCTCGCGGGCGCCGGGCGGGCCCCGTGACCCGCCGTCGTAAGAATGCTTCAGATCCAACCTGGGTTCGTTTCCGTGACGCAGGAAACATCTGGGGAATTTGCGCCGGGCGTTTGGGAAAGTACTTACTTCCGAACTTGGCGCGAAGGTGTGCTAGGATCCAGACAAACGCGGGCCTGAACGGGGGGGATGGGGCCGGGACGGGGTGGCAGCCGTACCAGCTGCCAGGGTGCACGCCGCGAGCGAACCGGTGGCGAGCACTTGGGTGAAGGGCGAATTAAACACTTAGAGCCCGGTCCGCTCGTTCTGGCCTCATTGTTTTTTAATGTTTGTAGTACTTAGGCACAGTTTGAGAAAGAGTAATGTCTTTACTTTCAGAAAAAACATCAAAGACCAGGGGCTGCTCAATATGGAGCACATATGGTAGTCTCCGAAGGCCTTGCCTGCCAAAACATGTTTCTCAGTATTTTTCTCCTTTCCTTTTTCGATCCCACCACCCCCATCTTTTTTTTTTTTTTTTTTTTTTCTCCCCAAATGGGAGGGAGCCGCGGGCTCGGGTTACCTAGGACGTGGAGCGTTCACTGGAAGCAGTTGGCGGCTGTGCTGAGGCGATCAGTGAGGCCTTTGAGGAACTGAATGTAGCCCAAGACGGGAACCTTGAAAATGGGCCGGCTGGCTGCAGAAGCCAGGCTGGGGAGGCCGTGGCTCGCCCAGGACCCAGAGCCGGGGGCGGCAGAGTGAAGCATTATCAGATTCAGAGGCTGTAGGTCGCTTTTGGCATTATATCTGAAAAAGCACGTTTCCTTGTTAGTGCTTCCTTAATGTGGTCAAGTTACACTGGCTGAATCCCCAGGCTCTTAGTACAGTGCTCGAATAGGGGGCACTTAAATATTTATTGAATGAATGTTGAACGTACTAAGTGAAAGCAATAGCCTGCACACTACTTTTTTACTAAAGTCTAAACAAGAGTTAGTTGCAAAGTTCATCTTCTTAACTGCTATTATTATTACTACTATTACTATGTAGACCACTATCCCAGTTTTTTAAAATTTTTTAGCAGAGAGAGGCAGGGAACAGCTAGCTGGCTAAAAGCTCGGGCAGTTTGCTTCAGGAATTTCTCAAGAAGAAATCTCAGAATGTCAGGGGTCATTAATGTGATATAGTTCAACTTCTGAATTTCTCTGAAGTTGAACTGAGACCCAGAAAGGTAGTTACTTGTTCAGGGCTCACAGCTGGGGTGGAGCTGGGGAAGAGCCCTCTTTCCTATGCCTAGTGCCCTCAAGGCTCACTACCTCACATTACCCTCAAGGGAAGGACAAGTTGGATAATTTCCTCTCTTTTAGCTTCTCCCATTAAATGGATTCCTATCATCACCTCTGAAAAATGATACTCTCCTTCTGCAAATTTACATGGAGGGTTAGTATTAAAAGCAGGGGTAAATTCTTGGGGCTCCCATTTAAAAGAAGCAGCATGCTGTCGCCAGAACTTGCAGCTTTTTCTAATGCAATATTGATGGTGGGGGAAGGAAATACATCACACATGGAGCTGATTAAACATGAATCTTATCACATCTTCCAGTGTTCTCATGCCTTATGCGACTTATACACAGAGACCAGTGGGCAAATTATCTGACAAGTAGTTCAAAAATCTGGACTTTAGACCTGGCTTTGCCATCGACCTGCTGCATATCTTGAACAGTCAATTTTGCTGGATCTATTTCTCTCTCTCTCTTATATATATATATATATATATATATATATACACACACACACACACACACGTGTGTATGTGTCAGTAATATATACACATATATATTAATTTTTAATCTAGGTGATCTGTTCATAAATCCAATTTCTGTTCTTATATTCTCTGTTGTATCAACGTACAGTGAACCCCTTACCCATACCAGATGGAAAAGAGTCAACCCTAGAACCCTTCTTATTCTTGTATTAGTACTGAGTGAATATTAAACTTGCAAAGTGCTTTAGAGATGCTTCTGCCCCTTCATCCTGGAGCCCAGAGAGCTGATTTCCCTATGCCCACATTGCACAGCTGGAGAACCCTAGTTAGCTTCCAGCTCAGGAAGAGAGTTCCTACTCCCTGAAGAGAGTTACTGCAAATATGGGGGTCCACCAGTCTCTGCGACAGGTTCAGATGAGCATGGATCAATTAGGTTTTTAAAAAAAATTTTTTAAGATTTTTTTTTCATTTTTAAGCAATCTCTACACCCAACGTGGGGCTCGAACTCACAACCCTGAGATCTAGAGTTGCTTACTCTCCTGACTAAGCTAGCCAGCTCTGCTGCCCCCCCTCCCCCCACCTCCTCCAGCATGGATCAATTCTTTAGGATGCTTCCTTCTACTACCCATTCATCCACATTCACCGCCCCACTTTCTCATTCAAACCAGGAATAACTTAGCCAGAATATAATAGTCTTGGGTTCAGGAGGGTGAATTTAAAGCAGAACTGAAAGTCAGTACCATTTTACTTGGGAAGTGGTTCTTTAAGCTTATCAGCTGTGTTGCATGAGACTTTGAGCCCTGAAGACCCATTGGGACAAAGGTTAGGGTTCCTCTAATGAGGAGTATAGCAGCTAGTCTTAACTTGTTTTTAGAGTCTCGAATCTAACATAAGCCCTAGTCAAATTTAGTAATGAGGCAAAATAATAGAATAAGGCCATGCTCAAAATTTTATTCAACTCATCCTTTCCCCTCACACAACAAACTCCCGAATTACCAATGTTGGGGGTGAGTTGAGGGAGGAGCTAACATTATCCACCATTAAGAATAAGACAGTAAAGCTGTTCTTGCTTGCTTTGGGGGAGCACCTTCTTGATGTGATAAAATTACTTGGGGAACTCTCTACCACATTGAGAATCAAGTCTAGGGCACGTTCTCCCTCCTGCCTGCCTGGCCTAGTTGACCTTCACTAGCCTGATGCTGCCTGGTTGGAATCCAGAGTGTTTCAAGGAGCAGTTGTGATGTGTTTTCCCCGGGTATGGAATGCAATAGGAAGTTTCTCTGCACTGAAACCATCTTTTCCTCTCACCTTCCTGCTGGGAACCTTGATGACCTGGGGGCTAAAAAAAAACCCCACATAGTACCAGGTTTGAGGGAATCTCCCTCAGCAGGGACTTAGGTGCATGGGATTGGGCTGCCCGGTCCAGACAGCCGCTCTAGGATGTTGTCCTAGGCATGCAGAGAAAGGATGGAGCTGAAAATTCAGCCAACTGGAGGTCAACATGTCGCCTCTTGTGTTTAAATCTGGCTGATAGCGATACCTGGGTGGCTCATTGGTGAAGTGTCTGCCTTTGACTGGGGTCGTGGTTCCCGGGTCCTGGGATGGAGTCCCGCATCGGGCTCCTTGCTCAGCAGGGAGCCTGCTTCTCCCTCTGCCTGCCGCTCCCCCTGCTTGTGCCCCCCTCTGTCTCTCTGACAAATAAATATTTTTAAAATAAATAAATCTGTCTGATAATGGAAATTGTTCTTTGTGGCTATAGCTACGCAATATTGTAGAAAGAGGTCTCCTGCCATTCCTCTTAAACATGATCCTCAGGATCCTGTTTTGGACCTTTTCTTATATGAAAGCCTCTCCCTGAGCAATAATCATAATACTGACTTCCTGAGGTCATTATGGGGATTAAGAGAGAAAATCTACTAAAAGTGCTTTCCAAAGTGCCAGATATATAGCAAGTACTCAATGCATGTTAGCAATTATTATTAACCATTCTATGATTTCATTTGCTGTTAATGACGTATTTGTCTACAATTCAGACCTTTCCTCAGAATACTAGACCTGAATATCCAACCGCCTACTGGAGGTCATTTACATGTAGACAGACTTAGATTTGTAAGACCCACTATGCTCAAAGCAGATTGGATTTCTTGTCCCTGTTGCACACTCAGAGCCTGTTCTACTAGTCTCTGTGAGCCACACCAGCACCAATCAGGAGCTCAGGCCAGCTACCTGGCAACTGTCACCAGTTCCTCCTAAATAGCTCAAATCCTCCACCCACAACCTCCTGCCTTAGTAATGACAAATAGTTTTGCCTGTATCATTCCATCATTTCTCCTACATTATACCCTCCAGTCTGTCCTCACAGCAGCTGGAGTGATCTTTATGTAATGCAATTTGATCATGTCATTGCCCTACTTTAAATCTTTTTTTCCCCTACTTTAAATCTTTTATGCATTCCCCATAGACACTAGGAAAACCCAAATGCTGAGTGTATAATGCTCTTTATAGTCTCCTTTCTCACCACTTTCCCTTCATACCTGCTATTGACTGCATTGAGATATTGTTTGTTTGGGTTTTTTGTTTGTTTGTTTATTTGTTTTTGCCTTTATGTCTTTGCACATGTTGTTTTTCTGCCTGGTACCCAGCTCCCTCCTTCATCAGACCCTGCTGCTTGTCCTTCAAGATTCAGCCTGTGTGCTCTTCTTGGAAGCCTTCACCAAGCCCCAGGCTGATTACAGAGTTTTTCTCCTGAGTTTTACAGTTTTATAGGATTGTAATTGCTTTTTCTTCTCCACTAGGTGTGAGTTCCTTGAGGGCAGTGGAATAAATCTTTAATCTTTGTGGCCACAAGGCTTTCATGCCTGGCCCACAGTAAGGGTTTATCCACATGTTTGCTGAATATAAGAATGACCCAAAATTAGAATTAATGACTGGTTCCATATGACTGGTTCATATCATCAGAATTTGGGGGAAGTTATTTTTCTGAGCCTCAGTCTTCTCATCTGTAAGATGGGGACCAACAATACCCCCTGATATGCTGAGGATTAAATGAAAAGTGAAT